TGTGTGTGTGTGTGTGTGTGTGTGTGTGTGTGTGTGTGTGTGTGTGTGTATTATGGTTGCGGTTTTGTTCGCTCACTCATTCGCTCGCTCTCTTCGCGTTCATCGATACACTCAATTGAATTCAGTTGTGTACATATGTCATATATGCTCAGTATTCGCTCGTCATCGTTAATCACGGTGTCGTTAATGTATTACGTTTACGATCATTTACATAAATTTATATTAACATTGAACTTGAACCACACCGATTTAATGTGTTCTAGTGTTCCTCGTTTCGATCGAATTCAAATAGAATTTACATAAATGTATGCATGATTTTACATAATCCAATGCAATCGAAAGTGTGTGAGGTGTTAAGGGCGGTCATAGACGAAAAAAGAAGAAACAAAATGAGCAAACGGTAGCGCAACACCAAAAGAATTCACACATTATCAGTCGCTAACGGAAGGAAAAAAAAAGAGCAATATAACCGTTCAATGAATTATTTTTGCATTTTTTATAGAGTGGCATACGAATTTGTACTGTAGTTGTTGTTGCTGCTGCTGTCGCTGCCGTTTTTCGCCATCTCGAAATGATACGCTGTATTCCACGTGGAAAAACGTGATTTGTTTACATTTGAAATATTTCAAGTATTTGCATTGCACTGAAGGCTTTATTGCAGTGCATTTGAATGTTCATTCTTTTTTCCTATTTACAAATCATGATGACAGCGAAGCGATTTAATAGCTGATCTTTGATATGATCAAATTTGATTTTGATGAGTTCACAAGAAAATCAAACGCTCCTGGTCATTTCAGAGAAAAATAAAAAAACAACAACAATAGATTCTATCCAGAGAAATTCCAGTTGTCAACATAATTTCAAAATAGATTGATTTGCGTAAACAAGAGCACATTTGTTTAATGATTTTTTTTTGTATTGTATGCATGTATACAGTGCACAGCCGAAGTCACTATCAAATATGGGTGTACACCGTGGAGATGATCGAATTATTGAAATAACTCTGCTCGATTACGCTCATTCTCACATATGTCCATAGTGTTTTCGTATGCCATCAATTGAATCATCATCATCATTTTTTTCTCTGTTCAGAATCGATTGATGCTCCATTTTTTTTCTGTTCGTTTCTCTACAAATAGACTCAATTTAAGATACTTGCTACCGACCATGATTATGATGATACGATCGCGTTTCATTCGTATTTGGTATGTGTGGCGTTCGTTTTGTTTATTCTGCTTTGGCTACTTACCTCCTCAAGTGTGAGAAAATACATGATTGAACTAGCGCACTTAGAGAATCAATGAAATTAATAACACATTTTTTTTCTCCTCTATGTGTCCATTTGTTTCAATGGAAATTCTTTTATCTTTAATTATCATTGAATATTCATAAAACAAAGTTGAATACGGCTTAAAAACAACTCATTTCTTATGATCCAACTATTTGTTATGGGTGCATGCACTGGTAGGAAGTGATAGATAGAGAGACGTGCCATCGTGTAGTGATGTGTGATGCTTGGGATTACAATGGCTTCGGATTTCAAATCAATCAAATTGTGTGTGTGTGTGTGTGTGTGTGTTCGCATTTAAACAGTTTTTTGATTGATCGCCTCACATTTTTCATTGATCGTCGACCGCTGAAACTGTACACACACACATACACACACACACACACACATTTTGGTATTTGTTGTGAGCTATTTCAGAGAAAAACAACGAAAGGCGAAGAAAAAAAAATTGAACAGAGAAACATGCCAACAGCTTCCTAAAAACCACCACAAATAGCACGCATTTAATGAAAGCCAAATATTTAAAGCATTTCTTAAATCTATCAATTAATTAGGTCTTGAGCTGTCAGCCTGATCATTTCGTGGAAATTTTCATTTTGTTTCAGCTATTTCCATTTTGGTATCCACTTTATGTCTTATGGCATTATCTTTGATCATAATTTTATTGTTTGGTGTTTTTCATCAAAAATTCATTGGCTCCACGATTAGCGACATCAACAACAATTGATCAGCAAATACTGTTAATGGTCGATCTCTATTATTGTTATTAGCTAGAAAATACACAAGTTTATTTTTATTTCTTCTCTTAACACTAAATGTAGCAGATAAAGAGGCGTAAATTGAGCCAACTTTCAATCAATCCGTGTTCTCCAATCGAATGATTGATCGTTTATGCAAAATATAGATAAATTGAAAAGTAAAGAAACAAAGAGTCGATCAAAGCTGGCTTAATCCAGGATTGTTATAATTTGCAATAATGAATACCTAATGATTTCCGTCGTTGACAAATAAATAGCGTGAAATATTCAATCGTAGCTCAATCGGAGTGATTTGAGTGGAATGCGGAGACTCCCTCGCACCTTTGCCGCGAACCAATTAAATGTGCGCGAAAAAGTAATCAATGACGGAAAATTATTTTCTTTTTCGCATTTGCACCAACCACTCACTCACTCGCTCATGGACTGCACTCGATGTGATCACTATTAAAGCGGCTTAATGGTGCAACACAGCGCGCGCTCGAACACGGCAACCGTTTCGTTCCTCGGCTGAAAAAGAAAACGAGCAAGAAAGACGAAAAATATTAAAAATCTATCGATGAGAAAGGGAAAAAAAGGTCAAAACATATTATCATATGTTGGAAATTAATAGACGTTCCCCACATTTTATATAGACAAGTGACTAAATAAATGTGTAATTTATTAGATAAACAGACGGTGAATCGAAAATAAAACAAAATCGATGAAATAAAAACGACAACGTCGACGACGACGACGACGACGATGAAAAAAAGGAACGGCAAGTGTGGCGCGTTGCTCCATTTCGACTCGTTGCATGGATAGACAAGAAGACATGATCACCGTTTTCCTCATTCATCGGCCATCCAATCGAAAGCAACCGACAGAGATAGCTAGTCAAAAATCAAAGTCAGCGAGCAAGCAAACGAGCAGATATTTATGCACAACAAGATAATAAACAATAATAACTCCGCAATTTATATTAAGACGTAGGTTAAAGAGTTGTCGCTGCAGTTGTTGTTATACGTTGGAGCATTTGTTTTTTTTCTTCTTCTCTCGTCTTGCGTATGCTGTATGGGTTGCGCTTTGTATTCGTTGTGTTATCGTTTCGTTTCGCTGCTGAAATGTGATTGCGCTCTTTGTGCCATTCTGTCATACCGTTTCTATAACAATAACACTCTTTTTGGAATTATGCTAAATATGCGCTGCAAAATGGTTGCAGTTCGATCCCATTGCAAGCACTGCAGGCTATATTTTTGCACTAAAACCACGCATTTTCTGGGCGAAACCTACCTTTTTTCAATTACGTTCCACTTTAATAAACAATTAAAAGTATTTTTTTATCAACTTTCCCAATAGTTTTAGTACCGCACAGTCCATTTTTTAGCAAGAAAAAGTGATTATTTTGTGAGCATCAATGTGGAGTTTATAGCATCATTTATTAAAATAATGAAGAAAATAAAATGAATCCACTTTATTCAGTGCAGACTTTTTATTCGTTGCTTTTTTCTTAAAAATGCAGCGCTCACATCAGCCACAAGTGTAATTTCGGATGCGAACGATCTAGGCGATTACACTTTTTGAGGCATGCAAGCATTTCAATAAAGCGATTTGGATTATTTTATTATTTTATTTTTATGGTGTTCAAGCGCACGTTAAAAAAAACATTCCACCACGAACAATATTCTCTTGTTTTCTCTCTCTTCCTCTCATTTCAGGCATTAGATAATATAAATTCAGTTGTTGTAATGACTTTGGTGATGCATTTTTTCTCTCTCTTTCTCACTTGCTCCATCAATATTGTTTTTTTTTCCTCGTGTGCTTCATTTCGCACACATCCATTTTGATGTGTAGTAATTAAAATGTCATAAAAAGAAATAAATGGAAACCAGTTTTCCATATATTTTTTTTTCCCATTTGAAAATTGTTGATTTAGCTTGAATTAGAAAAAAAAAATCGATTAGAATCGTTCTCTTCTAGATTCTCAGTGTGAACCGTTTTGTGTGTTACGTACACACTCAATTTGCACATAAATAGAGAGAAGTTTCCATCTCGTTCACGTTCTTGCGACGCGACGCGACGGGCTGCTGCTGCTGATGCATTTGTATGTAATTGCCTTAGCAATCAATCGCTAATTTATTAATTATACTCTTTTTGATGTCGTTTTTGCGTGTTACAAATCATACAATTTTATTGATTTCGAGGCTGATGAGTTTACGTGCTTGTCGGTCCGCACTCGTACACACTGAAGCTGAAATTGATATCGTTGATTGAGACGCGTCGCATTTTTTTTTTGTCGATACTGTTCACCTCCTTCGTTTGACTTGGCTGTCATTCGCAATTGAGATGCCGTTTGCGCATTTTGTGCGCCGTAAAATGACTGCCAAATTCATTGGTGTGCTTCGTCTTCGTGCACCATACAATCGACCACACTCAAAGCGATGTCAAACACAACGTCATCAAATAAGAAGAAGAATAGCAATCAAAATTAATTCGATGAACCTTTTGACCTGCTTCTATTAAACGTTTACTCGGTCGCCAAATACACAAACACACACACACTCAAACGTACACATTCAATAGACGATAATGTCGAACAACGATGTCATCGTTGTCGTCGTCATCTCCGATATCGCCGTTCGTTTATGACAAATATTTAATATTTACTTCTTTCGATGGAATTGAATGGAATAACCCAAAATCGAATACTGCACTGAAATTTAAGCTTCATTGTCATCATAATTGCATTGCATTGCATCCACTGATAAAATTTGTACAATTGATCGTTCGCAAAAGGTTCTTCGCACAATTCGTTCAATGCAAACGTAAAAAAAAGGTATGCAAGGAAATGTAGAACACAAACACACACACACACATTCGGTGCGCATAATTCGGGGCAAATAAGAAAACAAGCGAGCTGAAGAAAGGAAGAAAAGGGAATTATCGTAAAATTTAGGTCCCCTATTTCCTATCGATACCAATTTTCGATCTTGATTCGGTGACACTAATAAATTGATGTTGCATGAATATCGTACATATGCCCACAACCCGAAAGTTCAATATATGCACGGAAATGCGAACGCAAAGTAGAGGAGGGAATAACAACAACAACGACTCAACAAGGAAATCAAGAGAAAAAACTACACACGGCAAATGCCTTCAGCAAAGCAAACATGCATACTGAGGAAAGGTATTGAACTCTTTTCACCTTTGTCGCCTATTAACTTTCAGTATTAACCCTCTTGTTTTCAATTTAATTCCATTTCGAATACGCGCTTTCTTCCATTCGATTCACGATTTTATTTGTGTTTGTCCCAAAAAAAAAAAACCAAAAAAAAAAAAATAATAATAATCATTTCGTTTGGCAGTTTGTTTGACATTTTCGATGACTGCTAATAGGTGCATAGACGGTTATTGTGCCGAAAAGAAAATCACAAAAAACCGCATACATATTTTTCTTTTCTTTCTCCGTTTTGTTGCAAAAAAAAAGAACTCACTCAATTTGATTGTTTCCTTTCCACCGGCAATACGTGTGTTGATCGGCGGTGAGACGACGGTTTTATCTAAACGATCGAAGAAATAAAATGCATGTTTAGACAAATGAAAGCAAGTAATAAAATGACCAAAAATATGTGTGCCTGCATTTCGACGCACATTGTACGTATTCGATTGTTGTGGTCGTATCAAACCGGAAACAATAAAAATGTCATATTAAGCATATAGTATTGAAATTATATTCCTATTATTTTTTCTTTCATTTCATTTTGAGTTCAAATTCAAATGCGTGTGTGTGTGTGTGTCTATTTGAATATAGAATATACATATCATTGTGATGGTCTTCGTCTTTGAGTTGTTGCAGTCTTTTTGGTCGAATTTTGTGTGACTATTTTTTTTTCGTTGTTGCTTTTTTTTTCCTGGAGTTGTCGTTTTAAGATTCATTACTACTGCACGCATTACTTGATATCAAATTTATTGCATTGCCCATGCATAACATCTTTTACATGTGGCTCCAGATGAGCAACGGTATCGATACGATGATAGGCCCCGAAAAAAACCGAGCAAATGCAACAAATTGAAAATGAAAACAGCCATGCACATACAGAGAGAAAACAATGGGCCAGAAAAAAACCGAAACATATGTGGCTTTCGGAAGCTATTTAAAATGCACTTAAAGAATTCATTTACACGGTAAACTCTTCCTTTCATCTATATAGAGGCGGTATGTGTGTGTGTGTGTGTGTGTGTTTCGTTTATTTTTACCTTAACTTAACTTTTTTTTTATCCACATTTTGTGGTTCGCACTTTATTATAGTTACCAATTTTCCAGAACAAATTCACTCAGAGGTAGCGCTAATCGGTTAAGTAGAGTGGCGTGGGTAAAATAATTGCCCCATTAGCCACTTATGCATGTGAAGTCAAGCTACAGATGGTGAAGAGGCGAGAAAGGAACAGAATTTTAAAATACACCGAAGAAAAAAAAGAGGAAAACAAACTACTCGGTATGAAAATTGAATGCAGGTATTGATGTTTGGCTTACATTTCATTTTATTTTATTGTATTTTGCGTTGTTGTGTAGTTTTTTTTTCTCTCTCTTCTGTTGTTTTTTTTCTTTGCTCTGTGGTTCGTTTTTTCCACTGTTTATTTTGTTTGCGGTTAAACGCATTTTAAAGCAATTTTGGGCCATTAGACGCACTTGAATTGTTATTGATCACCTAATTTCTGCCTGACATTTCAACGTCTTGTTAGTGATTTGACGAATGGGCCCACGATATAAATGCCTCGGAACGGCGATGGCTCTCTCACATTTAACAAAAAAGGCAAACGTAACAATGACGACGACGATGATGATGATGATGACGATGATGTGGCATGTGATTAAGCTTCATTCATTTTCGTTTCCATTTTGATGAACATATAACAAATTAGTGCACGCAACTGTTAAAATCTAATCGGACGAGATATAGAGGTTGTGGCCGACACCACCGCCTCTCTATTTATACGCAAGTGAATTTCAGCATTGCCGTCTCGACAAAGTCATTGTCATTTCTGACATGAAAATTAAGGACGATAGTTTTGAGGTGAATTGATAACTATAGAAGATTATAACCTACCGCAATCGGTGCAAATTGTTTTGGTACAAACCGAACACAAATAAACAAACAAACAAAACCGAAAACCCACTGAGTCAAATCCAACAGTCCGAATATTTAATTGAATTATCAGATATGATGAATTTGTGCAAAAGATCCGATCAGTGTCATTAATCTCTTGGAAATGAAAGAAGAAGCATATGAAAACGAATACGAAAACAATTCTACCGAGAGTTGTGACAACAACGGCAGCAGCAAAAAAAAGATCACTTCAATATCTCAATATTAATAATATTAATTCGTTTTTTTTGTCTTCGGTTGGATCGCACATGGTTTCACATCGCCCATGCGACTAGTTTTTTGCGGGCAAGGCCATAACAAACAGAGGCAACAGAAACAATAACAAAAAAAAATTGGCCTATTAAACGCGCTTAAGACATC